AGAAGGCAAAGGACAGGAACAGACAAGACTCTGAGGAAGAACCCCTACTGGCCATTAAACTCAGGAAGACAATATTCAATCAGTAACAAGCACAGAAATGCAAGTAACAAAGAAATACCCTTCTTCTGCCTATTCGAATAACAAAGATTGTTTTAATGATGACATCCAATGTTTTAGGGTGTGAGGAAACAGGTGAGCACTCTCAAAAATCACTGGGGAGTGTAAATTAGTACAGGCTTTCAGTGGAGGGGAGGGGGCATTTTACCAAAACCTCAAGCTGTTTATATTCTTTGACCTAGTAATTCCATTTCTAAGACTTTATCCTATGGAAACAACCAGAGACATAGACAAAGATAAATATTTAAGGATTTAAATACCAGCACCATTTTTAATAAAGAAAAACTAGACAGATAACATAAATGCCTAAATGAAAAACAAGTATGACCCAAACATAAGACGGAACTTTTACAACTGATTTTTAAAACACATGTAGGAGAGGTTTGCTTTCCCAGGTGTAGACAGGACAAGGGTCACTCTGCCCAGCTATTTCTTCTGCTCAAAGTAATAATGATCCTCTGCACAGCCCTCTTTACCTTACAAGGAACAGCAACATCTAGTATTTCTTTTGAACCTCACAATAACCCTGCATGATTGCTTGTTTTTATTCCCATAATGTTGATGAGAAAACTGAGGCTTACCAAAATGAAGTGACTTTTCCCTACCAATATTAACTACCACTTATTGAAAAACCTACATGTCAGTCTAGCTTCTTTCACATGTTATTACTTATCTAATAAAACTTTAGAAACATTTAAGAAATGTGCAAGACCCAGTGTTAGTTGCTAAGGAAACAGCACTGAAGAAGACACTTTCTATTAAATACATGCTGAATACATTATTAATGTTTCCAGTGACATTATCATCAGGCCCATTTTGCAGATGTGCAAACTGAGGCTCAGAAAGGTTCAGTGACTTGCCCCTGGAATGCCTGGCTTCAAATGCAAAGATCACATACTTCCCATTCCTCCTGGAGACTGTCTAAACTGCACAATCATCTCGACATCACCCAAGGGAAGGCGGAGAAGGATCAGGCCCTCACTGTCTATGGTGGGGGAGGGAGAGAGGGCAAGAAAAGCCAGGCCTAGATGCCCAGCCCCTCCGGCACCTACTGTCAACAACCAAAGCAGGAAAACAGATCCCATCTTCCATTTCCCCTGTTCTCAAGCTTCCTCTCCCCATCTAGAGACTGCCTCACCCAAAGGGGAGGAACTGATTCCCGCCTACTCAGGGCCAGTTGAGAGTCCCTGAAAGCTCCCACCCCCACTTCCAAGTATCTCCTTCCCTGATCTTACACTGCCTGGCATCCCACCACTAGGAACTTTCAGGTGTGGGAACTCCAGGCCACACACATATTCCCTGGAAGAGGCAATCAATCTCTAACTCCGCATGTATCAGCCTTGCATACCTACCCGAGTTGCCCGCGTTAACGCGATAAGCTCTGCACTAGGCCAAGTGGGAAGCACGGGGCCGGGGGGGGGGGGGGGGGGGAGTTGTGTATTACCCCTTCAGAGTAACTAACTACAGGGGCAGAGGACAGGTAGACAGCCGGAACGGGTATACTCCCAGCACATGCGCAGGGCCAGAGACACCCAGAAACAGTCTCAGGGAGAAAAGGGATGAGGAAAATATAATATCGCCAGCTGACCCTCCCAGCTGCTCAGAAACATTAATAAACGAGTGACTTGGAAATTATCTTCTGGGAAGGCAGAACCACCACATCCTAGATCGCTTTTCCCGACACTAAACAGCCTTGTAAATGAAGCAGCAACATTTCCAGCCCGCAAAACAAAAATGCTTTTGCCAGCACACCTTTCACCTGGAAAGCCTCTGAGCGGCATTCATTTCCGTTATCCAGGAGAAACGATTACCTGTCCTGGGTGCTTATTTCCAAAACCTCCAAAGAAGAAATGAGAGACACTCATTTCTCAGACAAGGGGCCCAGGGATTTTTGGAGACCAGCTGGGAACCTCCCCCAGGCCATTTTAGGGGAATAAGTACAAAGGCTCAAACCTGTCCTGGGGAGGACCCCCATAGCCCAACTGTGCCCACCAAGCCCTGGCTGGCCTGACCCCAGCCTCATAACCAGACATCAGCCCTCTCTCCCAACCAGCCAGGTTCAGCGTTCCCACATCTGGGGCAGACTCCTTTCCCAGGGAGCAGAAAGACACCAGCGCAGAACCAACTGGTTTCCAACCTCCAGATGAGAGAATCCCAGCGCAAAAGATAACCTCCCCAACACAGCAGTTTTCGGAGCACAGCAGACAACGTGCAACAAAGCCGCCTCAACACGAGCAGACAGCTTCATCCCAAGTCGGGACCTAAGTGACCACCTCCGAGTGCCCTGGGCTGCTTATCTACATGGGGAGGCCACGGGGACCAGGGCTCACACTTGCCACGCCAGAAGCCCCCACCCCACCTTCCCACCCCCATTCCCTCACTGAGGCTGGTGTCTCTGCACTTACCCCCTCCCCAGCCAGAGGCAGGGCCACCCAGTGGGGGTCCCATGGAGCCAGAATTCAAACCCCTCCTCGCTGCTAGGCCAAGCCAAAGGCAGCGGGTTCTGTCCTCCCAGTCTTCAACAGCACAGCCACACCACGTCGGAGTAGGGGGAGGCGCCTCTCCACTCACCCGGGTTTGCCCATGAGTTTGGGGCAGAGGGCATGGGGGGGTCCCCACAGTTGGTTTTACTCACTCAACTCTAAATAGCATGACTCTAGGGACTGCCCTAGAGAACCACCTGCCCATCCATCCCAGCAGCAGCCGACAAATCTATCTCTAAGCAAAGCAGCAAATCAGGAGACCCCAATCCTCCAAGGCTCCAAGGCTGGGTAGAAGGATTTCAAACTCAGTCTCTCTGCCTGTCCGTGGGAAATCTGGGCTCCCTTCCTGTGCCAGAGAAGCCACCAAGCCAGATTTTGTTTATAGAAAATTCATAAGACAATTCCACACCACCGCCAGTGACATTCTGCTCCAACCGCTACCGCTTAACCACCGTTTCTACAAAAGGGCTTATAATTTCACTCCCAACCCCCCCACCCTGCACTCCTTCAGGATGTGGCAAGGATGACCTGAGGCCAAGGTGGACAGGACCTGTGAGAGGTCATCTCGGCCATGCCCCGACCTCCGGCCAGGGTTGCCAGCCGAGCGTTTGCCGGCTTCTCGGTGCCGGCTCTCCGCTGAAGGGAGGTAAACATGGCATGCACGCTGTCTGCTCCCGGGAGGACAGACCCATTCAGAGGCCGGACCACCTGCTGTCTCTCCTGCTCCCACGGACAACCAACACATGCACACAAAACGGGGTACGTACACAAGGCCCCGCATGCGGGTGCAGAGGGTCCTGACCCCTGCCAAGGAAAGCGCAGAGAAGGGCATGTTCCTGGGGGAGAAAGCCGGAGGCGGGGGCCGGGCGGAGGGAGAAGGCAGTAGACCGGGTGGCCTGCCGCCCAGACAATAACAAAGATGGGAAGCGAGATTTTCAAAGACGCAGTGGCTGCACCCAGCACTGAGCTCTGGCCTGGCTGCATCTTCCTGCCAGGGCACGCCTGGTCCCCTGGGGCACTGTGGCCATCAGAGAAAGGCTGGGGGTCCTGCCTCGAGCTGGGCTTGGCAGCTGGAGCAGGAAACCAGCTGCAGGCAGTGGTGGGGATGCACTGGAGAGCAGCTCTGGGCTGATGGAAATTAAAGGTCTAGTAATTCTACTGGGGAGTGGGAGGGGGTACTTGCCAAGAAAATGCTAGGGGTCAGTTAAACAGTCACTCAACCTTGGGCAGGAGTTGAGCTATAACTTGTACTCTTCTGCCTTCTGGAACCAAGGGGGAGGGGAGAGACATTTTCATTCTACCTGTGCCTGCCCTACAGGGAGAGCCAACTGGCCAATCATACACAGGGGCACAGCCCTACGAAGGCAGATGCCAGGGGCCTGAGATGCCGGGGCTGAATGCTGAAAAGGCTCCTTGGTGCCCGCCCGTTCTTTCACCTCCACAAGCTGAGCAGGGACACGTTCTAACTGGCACTGGAATCCATCACTGTGCCTGTGCCCAAGTGGAAAGGTGCCGTGGCTGGCACGGCTCAAGGAGGGGGACCTGGGTCCCGAGAGACTGTGCCCGCCCAGTGCCCCTGCACGAGGACAGGATGGCTTGCCCTTGCGAGCTGAAGCCTGCTCCCCTGCGGGTGACTCCTGGCAGGCTGAACCGCCTCCTCCCTCTCCTCCTCTGCCCCACAAGCAACCTCCCCCTGGAATTTCCACACCTGCTGCCGGCTTGCCCGAGAAAAGGAAACTGGGAACAGGAGACACCCCTGGGAGTGGAGAGGTGAGGGAGGGAAGCAGTTGCCCAGGCTGGAGAGGACCAGGCCCTTCTTCCCCGGCCTCAGGCAATGCCCCTGAGCTCAGGGCCGGGGCACTGCTCACTCGGCTCGCCCCAGCCCCCAGCGGAGCACGCGCCCTACTTAGAGCAAATGTGCCCCCTAAGCGGCCCAGCCCCCTGCTCCTCCCCTCCAGATGTTCACCCTTTTCCCCACCACTGGGTCTCAGCAAAACCGAGCCGAAAACGCCTTTTGTATCGGACAGCCAGGGGCTCCAAAGGCAGGGGGATGGGTCCTGGGGGTGGAGACGCCACTTGTCCCCAGTTCCGGGCACTGTACCGCCCAGGGAACAATGCCCACCTCGGTAAGGCGAGGCAGGACTTCCCGGCGAGAGCACTTCCCGCCAGCCTCGCCCGAGCCTCGGGCACCCCCTGCTCTCCCCGGGGGGAGAGAGAAGGGCCCCCCCGTCGTGCCCCCCAGTCCGAGGCGGCCCCACAAGTTGCCGGAGGGCGGCGCGGGGTGCCCTCCCGCTCTCGGCGCGCCCCGGCCCCGGCTCGCGCTTTGTCCCCGCGCCCTCGGGGGCACATCCCGGGGCGGAGGCGCGCGGAGGCCGGGCCGGGCGGCGGCGGCGGGCTCACCTCTCATTGTCCGCGGCGGCGGAGGCGGCGGCGGCGGCGGCGGCGCTCCGGAACCCCGGCAGGATGTGGCGGAAGCTGTGGTTGCGGTCCAGCTTGGGCTGGCTCTTGGTGCGCTTGATGGAGCCTTTGAGGCGGCGGCTGAGGAAGCCCTGCGCGCGGGGCGACAAGAGGGGGAAGGGGAGGCGGGGTTAGCGCGCCGGCGGGCCCGGGACCGG